ATGATGGCGCTGAGCACCAGAGGCCGGGCAGTGACAGCTAGTACTATTTTAAGGGGTCCTTACCGGACTGCACAGGCAGACCTCTTCTTCACATTTGCTGTAGATCACTTCCTACCATCACTTGTGTAAGGGAAACTACCCGGGAAGTGAGGAATGGGCTCAGGAGAGCATCCTACAATCTGCATCCCTGTGACAGCCTAATCCTCACTTTACCCCTGGAAAGCCACCTTGCATCTTCAAAATGGTGACTGAAAATGAGGGTGACTAACAAAACACCTAATCTTCAATGTGTGAGTGTGTGTTAGTGTATGTGTGTATCAATGCTATGTATATCATAGTGAGCAATTCTGTGTGTACTAGTGTATATGTGTATAATAGGAGTGTGTGTGTTTATGTAGCTGTGTTTATGCTTAGTGTACGTGTGTGTAGCAATTTGTGAGTGTGTGTCTATTTGGTAGTGTGTGTTGGGGACAAAGACAGTGTGTTTCTAGGGGGCCTCAAAAAATTCTTATAGTGGCCCTGACCAGAGGGGAGTGGGAGGATAATTTCCCGGGAATAATAAATAGGAATTAGCAGACTTCAAAAGATTTCAAGGGTTCCAAACAATTACAGTTCCTTTTATCTTAGGTTGGTACTAAGAGCTAGAAATTCGTGTGAAATCAGGAGGAAGTGAAAAGAGAGCCTATGGTCAGTAATCACGTATGTAGCGTCAAGCATACAGTAAATCCAGACACAGGGAGTGAAACACCAAGGTAAAGCGGAACAGAAGTGGAGATTGTGTTCAGTAGGTAAGATGAATAGTTTTGGTCATTTTTGGAAGACGTTCTCTGACGTTCCCTGAGCAGACCACAAAACTTAGAGAACCTGCATTCAGTATCAGAGAATTCAGTGGGAGCAGTATAAGTGCACCATGTAGAGGGTTGCTAACATTTAAATTATCAAACGTAAGATGTCAGCAAGTAAGAGTGAGAGGATTTAAAAACATATAACCCAATAAGAGATTACCATTTATTAATTACCCAAAAGACAAGACAGTGACTATTTCTGTCCATTACATTAATTGTCAGGGATGACTTTTACACTTAATAGGAGCCGACCAGGAGGGTCCGTTAATGTCTCCTACGCGATTCGGGCTCATTCAGCACAAGCTTAAAGGAAGGCTCTATGCACCATAACTACTAAAGTCATGCTCATAATTTCCCTCATATACATACTCTCATATACATCACTCACAGCAACCCACACACAGCCCTCACATCACTCACAGCTTCTCACACATAGTCACAGCACACACATCTTGTGCAGATAGCCACATACATCAAAGACTCCCAGTCAAAACACTTACAACCACCCCACACAGTAACCACACACACAATACAATACAATATACAATACACACTGTTAACACACACACAGATTTCGCACACACAACTTGTTGAGTTTAAGTTTAATAAATCACATGACATTTGTAATAATTTAATAAACTATCACTTTATATAATATTTAAGAAGAAGAAGAAGGAAAGAAATCCCAGGTGCTCACTCCAACGAAAAGTGCTGTGCATGCCTAGAGCAACCAGGGTATGGAGGGGGAGAGGGGGCTGGGCAGAATATATGTTGCTCTATATAGTACATATGCTGAGTTTGAGCCAGGTAACAGTACTTACTGTATATGGACATTGTGTATACACACAGATATTATTTCATCATACTAACAGCATTGTTTAAAAGCAGTATGGCCTAAAATACTTTATCCATTTTTATTTAGTCACTTTTGTTCATACATATTGTATATGAGAACTCTAGAATTGTTAGGCTCCCCACTGTCGCATTTTCATATAGCATCCCAAATGTTGCACACATTCCATAATGTCCTTTCTAATGTGCAAATTTCGGTAACTCCTAATGGCAGCACCAAATATTGCTAACAAATGTATACATGTGTATTCTGGCATAGAGAAATTACAGAAAGCTGAAACCTAATTATCTAAAAATACATTAAATACAAAAAGAAAAGGTTCAAGTGCAAAGGTGGAGTTTGCATAAGTACTAGTGCAACTCTTGATTTAATAGAGGTAAAAAAAAAAAAAGAGTACAAATGTTTTGGGCAGAATGCCCTTTGTCAATGTACAATGTCCCAATTATCTGTGTGAAAATGTTGTCCTGGCAAGTAGAAATTCACCCCTGGTGAGATGGCCATGGACCCTCCAGATTCGCAATGACGAGTAACTTCTAAGCCTGGCTAGTAAAATAGGATTTGGAATTTTACGACCTGTTTATTGTTATACAGTGAGGGAAAAGGTATTTGATTCCCTGCTGATGTTGAACGTTTGCCCACTGACAAGAAATGATCAGTCTATAATTTTAATGGTAGATGTATTTTAACAGTGAGAGACAGAATAACAAAAAATAAATCCAGAAAAACACGTCAAAAAATTTATAAATTGATTTGCATGTCAATGGGTGAAATACTATTTGACCCCTTTGACTTCGTACTTGGTGGCAAAACCTTTGAGGTCAGATGTCTCTTGTTGTTGGCCACCAGGTTTGCACACATCTCAGGAGGGATTTTGTCCCACTTCTCTTTGCAGATCCTCTTCAAGTCATTAAGATTTCGAGGCTGAAGTTTGGCAACTCAAACCTTCAGCTCCATCCACAGATTTTCTATGGGATTAAGGTCTGGAGACTGGCTAAGCCACTCCAGGACCTTAATGTGCTCCTTCTTGAGCCACTCCTTGTTTCCTTGGCTATGTGTTTTGGGTCATTGTCACGCTGGAATACCCATCCGCGACCCATTTTTAATGCCCTGGCTGAGAGAAGGAGGTTCTCACCCAAGCTTTGACGGTACATGGCCCCGTCCATAGTCCCTTTGAAGAGGTGCAGGTGTCCTGTCCCCTTAGCAGAACACACCCCCAAAGCATAATGTTTCCACCTCCATGTTTGACAGTGGGGATGGTGTTCTTGGTGTCATAGGCAGCATTCCTCCTCCTCCAAACATGGCGGTTTTAGCTGATGACCACTTTCACCTAGTTCTCCTATAAATCATTCAAATGTCCATTGACAAACTTCAGACCAGCCTGTACGTGTGCTTTCTTGAGCGGGGGGACCTTGCTGGTGCTGCAGGATTTCAGTCCTTCATGGCGTAGTGTGTTACCAATTGTTTTCTTGGTGACTATGGTCCCAGCTGCCTTGAGATCATTAACAAGATCCTCCCATGTAGTTCTGGGCTGATTCCTCACCATTCTACTGATCATTGAAACTCCACGTGGTGAGATCTTGCATGGAGCACCAGACCGAGGGGGACTGACAGGTATTTTGTGTTTCTTCCATTTGCGAGTGTTGTCACCTTCTGTTGTCACCTTCTCACCAAACTGCTTGGTGATGATCTTGTAGCCCATTCCAGCCTTGTGATTGCTTCCGTGGACAGGTGTCTTTTATACAGGTAACGAGCTGAGATTAGGAGCACTCCCTTTAAGAGAGTGCTCCTAATCTCAGCTCGTTACCTGTATAAAAGACACCTGGGAGCCAGAAATCTTGCTGATTAACAGGGGATCAAATACTTATTTCACTCATTGACATGCAAATCAATTTATAACTTTTTTGACATGCGTTTTTCTGGATTTTTGTTATTCTGTCTCTTACTGTAAAAATACACCTACCATTAATATTATAGACTGATCATTTCTTTGTCAGTGGACAAATGTTCAAAATCAGCAGGGGATCAAATACTTTTTCCCCTCACTGTAGTGTTACATTTTTATTTCACTTGGCTTGTATGAGTTCTTACTCTAGTATCCACTAAGAAACCTAATGATGACACCGCATACGTTCAATGATTCTCATAATGAAACATTAGGTTCGGTGTATCTCTAAGAGTAGCACTTGATTGGCAGAGCACAGTGACTGTCGTGCATGCGCTGTTGGTTCAAAGAGATGAGAAGAATCCGAGTGGACCAAAGATCATCAATCATAAAGATTTCACAGTTGGTGTATCAACTGCTAATATTTGACTGCCCAGGTGTTGAATTGCAAGTTTTATGTTTTTTTTTATTTTTTTATTACGTGTTTGTTTTAAAATGGGGAACTCTGAATCTAAATCTAGATCATACTAACATTAATAAAAAAATATAAAACAAAATACACTTTAAAAGGAGTCTCCAGTGCCAGGAAAGCAAACCAGTGCCAGTGCCACCCTCGCTCCTGCCCCATCCCATGTTAAAACCCCTTCAGCTACTTACCTGAATCCAGCCACGATGTCCCTCGGCACTGGGACAGGCTCCGCCCACGCTCCTCCCTTGCCAACATCAACCGGCGGGGGAGAGTTAATGTGCATGCGCAGCAATAGCTGTGCGTGCATTAGACCTCCTCATAGGAAAGCATTAATCAATACGTCTTTCCTACAGGGAAAATCTGATGCTGGAGGTCCGTGAGGACGTCCAGCGTCAGATAACGGACCAAAAGTCAGTTACGAATCCGGAAGCGCTCCCAGTGGCTTTCTGTTAGACAGCCACAGAGGGCAGACTTAGAGCGGCAGAGTAAACATTACAGTTCTCTGGAACTGCAATGTTTTAAATTGAAGCACTAAGTTCAAAAGGGTCATAGCACCAAGGCCACTTCAATGAGCTGAAGTTGACTGGGTGCCTACAGTGTCCCTTTAACGTTAATTAGTTTCAATTTACCATTTAAAACTTTTTATTTTGTTATTGAAACTTAAGAGAATCAATATCAAGATTTCCTATATATCTTTAATACGTAACGAGGACAGCAAAAACAATCTATATTTTCCATAACCTACATGATTTTTAAGGGGACATTTGACAGCACAATAAATCCATGACACAAACAGAATGAGCACTGCCTGCTTTTCATTCATCTACTCCTACACCCCTCCTTAACGAAAAACTGTCCCCATCTAGCAGAGCCTTTAGCATTGGCTGGGAACTACGTCACAATAGAGAGTTAACGAAAACATGTTTGGGACATTCACACATTCTGAAGAGCCTTCCCACTTATATCGGCCAGGTTTAGTCTTTCTGTGTCACTGCAGAAACTTCATTACTAGACTCGCTCTGATAGTGCACACTTCCTGTTCAAAAACACTTTCTTTAAGCTGTAAACAGACTGTATGTGGCTTATATCTAATGAAAATATGTCAGTAAGGTAAGCTGTCTTTATTTATCTAAACTTTGTGAACCAGTATAGATTCATTGTCATTGGGCTGTAGTTCTAAAGAGCAATTCTGGAGCAATATTCACAGAAAATAACTGATACACCTGGAGCATTCACCATGGAAAGTGCTACAGGTGGCACAGTTACAATGGAAACTAAGTGTTACAGGTAGAGAAATCACCATGCTTTTTGCTCAATATGTAACAATTTATATGGACATATGTAGATATGGACAAATTTGTATGTAATGTCATGTAAGTCACAGAATTATTGATTCTGAGTTTTGGGATTTTTATTACAATCTCAGGATAAAGAGCCAGGTTCTCATGGTATTTAGGTTAGCAGGATGATTTAACAGGTAAATGCACACATTTTGACTGTCACGCAATCTGATATTCCTTCTATTGCTTTTTTTTCTTATGGCCAACCAATCTGGATCCTCCTGACTCATGTTCTTTGTGATTCCGAAATATTGCGTTCCTTTCTGTAGTTCAAGTAAATTGTGTAAATGAACGTAAAGGCAAAAATGTTTAATAACTCACTCTCGTATTTAAAGATTAAATAATTTGCACTAATTGCTCTAACAGGTTGTTGTTCACTTGTGCTATTACAGAGCAAAGTCTAACCATTTAATATCTGGATTAGTCCCTCCTGTATATGCTGTCTAGCACCTAATTTCAGGCAGATACTCTCTGCTTGAGTGATGCAAGAAGGACAGACAATTGTGTCAGCCTTCACTAGGCCATGAATGTGCTATGGCTGTGTGATGCCCCTCTAGGCAAAGGGGTCCGCACCTTTATTACCGCTTAGCTTTACTTGAATACATTACGTGAACCAGTTTTGCTCAACTTTGTATTCTGAGAACCTGGTCTTTCCAAGAAGGCCAGTACTAGAAGCATTTGGTTGCCACATCCAGTAAGTGAATATAAAGGCAACTGTCCATGGTGGGCTACCTAAAAGGAAATATTTTGAAGTGTTTTGGTTGGTTTTGAATGTTGCTAGATATTTTGATGACGCGTGATTAAATATTGAGAGTCAAATGGATTTTACATTTAAACATGTGTCTACTAAGAGAATAGCTGAACTTATATAACCCACTCAGAACCTCTTTCTATCATGATGTCACTCACAAGTAATTAGTTAGTATAGCATGTGAAGTATTAAATGATTTTTAGTTTCAGATCACTTAACTCAGGTGGTTCTTTGGTTTATACATGTCTGTCTGATTCACTGACTGATACATCTGCATAATGTGTGTTTCTTCTTTTGAAAACCTGCGATATTTATGTTAAGAAAGAGTTGAACTTATTGTGTGTTTTACTTATTAATTACACTTGTTGCAATGTACTGTGGGGGTTGCAACAGGCCACATGCATTAAATACCCTGCATGTTAACATGGTACAATTTGAATATTTCTATGAACATTTATTTCTCTTCCTGGTTACGAATCATTTCAACAGGTTTGTTGCAAAATTAAAACCAAAATGGCAAAAGTTAGGCAAAACTAGTTGACCTTGAAAAATACTCCAACTCAGTTATAGCCACAGCTCGACTATTTTTGCCTGCATTTCAGTATAATTTCTAAAAACAAACACACCATAAATTAATTAATGAGACATATGTAAAGCCCCTAAAACAAACAATTTTGGGCTCACCCTGGTATCTACCTGTCAGTGACTTCGAGAATCTTACTTAATTTCGTGTTGTGCTGCATGCTCAGAAACTTAAAACCAAAAAAGCTAGAGTTTCTCTCTCAATATTTCTAGGCATGTAGTTTGAATTATCTAATGTAATGTAGGCCGTTTTTTAGGTAGAATGTATATATATCTATTTCACTTTAACCCTACTACCAACCCCCTTAATCCAAATCCCCCCCAAACTCATTTATTACCTTAGTATATGCATACATATATTTTTTTAAGCAAGGACATTCGGCCCCCTTTCTGTTTGGCGGCAGTTATTTTCAGCCGATTTCCACTGCTTCCATTTTATAATTCACATTTAATTCAATGCCGTTTTCACTTGGTCAACAGACAACAGAGCAAGCCTCAAAATAATTTTATTAGAGGGATAGAAATCAACTGAGCTGAACAAAAATGTCCAAATTTGCTGAAACAAATGTGGCACTTATAGACGCCATTGCAAAATAAATTAGCTGTGATCAGTTTTTAACATCTCAGGCCCCATTGAAATACTTAAATGCATCATTTGGTGTTACCTGTTAAAATACATATCATTATATATCATGTCCTCTCCGGGTTATGTATGCAATCCCCCACCCTCCCCCCACCCACCCACGTAGAACATACGGTAGTTTTCCTGGTAAATAAATTATAAAGAAACGACTCTGAATAAACTCAGAAAATAGGAGACTCTTCAGCAGAATAAACCTTACTATATATAATATATAGTATAATTGTATGTAGCCCTCCTCATTTTTACGTGTGTACATATTCATACAGTCATCACGTATAAACAGTAAAAACATTACATTACTGAGGGTTATAAAAAAATACTGAAATATAATTCTATTTCATAATATTACTTTAACATGAGTCTTTTCTTTGTATTGACTAAACAATGAACCATAATCAGTTTGCAGAGGTTTACAGCAAAGTTGCAAAATTAGGCCAACGTAAAATTTTTTTTAAATCAAGTTGATTCACTTTTTTATTTATTTTTTTTTATTTTTTTGTGTTAAATTTTGCAACTTTGTCAGAACACCACAAACACTTTTCTCTTTAATAAACTCCAGAGGGAAACTGAAATATGTTATTTTCGACACTTTTTCTGCTATGTCGAGTTCTTGTAATATATATCTTTCTAGCACAGACGAATTAAGGTTAGCACATCTGTTTGTTTTTTTCAGGAAGTCTTTGAAAGCTGCGAAATCTTAGTTAAATAAAAAAAAGATACTCATTAAAGATACTCAAACGCACATGTGCACACACACATGTTATTATGGATGTAAACTGAGACGTTCTATTGGTTTCCATGGTGACTGCACACTATTTAGCACTTTGCCTCAGAATGGTACCCTTGCCTGGATGTCTATGACTCCCATCTATAAAACAGAACTTGTTTATATCTGGCATATATACACTATGTAAAGTGTATTTTTATTTCCAGGCATACTGTAGGTTATGCAAAAACCCTTCAGTTTACGATTGTGCCAGGCTGTTTCTGATCACCTCATTGACATGCATGAATACCCAAGTTAGTAGGGAAAATACCACACAGAGCATTTACATCATGTCACACTATTTCCACACAACATATTTATCTCTAAAGACATATACATTGACTGATAGTGCCAGTAATTCAGATTCACTACTACACGGCTCAGTGAGATTTAGTATTTAGTCATCATTTAACCTCATTTAATAACATTTAACTGAAGTACAGAAGGAACCCCTAATCTACCCACACAACCCCAGTAAAAGAAATTCCTTTAATGCCACAATCACACGCTTTTAATCATAATATAAACCCCCTTCTCATTAAAGGGAACACCCTTACATTTAACCTGTATTCTGTAAGGAAGACAATGCTTTGAGAGCCGGTAAGTTACTTGCACTAACGTAATTAACCCTTTGTTATCCACAGTGTAGGGATGTGACTCTATGCAGTATATGGATTTTGTAATAATTTGCTATTTAATTCAATAGCACCAGCTAATTACATTAAACTATATTAGCCCTTAAAGGACCACTATAGTCACCCAGACCACTTCAGCTTAATGAAGTGGTCTGGGTGCCAGGTCCAGCTAGGGTTAACCCTTTTTTTTTATAAACATAGCAGTTTCTGAGAAACTGCTATGTTTATAAATGGGTTAATCCAGCCTCCAGTGGCTGCTCTCTTGACAGCCGCTAGAGGCGCTTGCGTGCTTCTCACTGTGAAAATCACAGTGAGAAGATGCCAGCGTCCATAGGAAAGCATTGTGAATGCTTTCCTATGGACTGGCTGAATGCGCGCGCGGCTCCTGCTGCGCATGTGCATTCAGCCGAAGAGGAGGAGAAGAGGGAGGAGAGAAAGAGGTAAGTTTAACCCCTTCCTCTCCCCAGAGCCCGGCGGGAGGGGTCCCTGAGGGTGGGGGCACCCTCAGGGCACTATAGTGCCAGGAAAACAAGGATGTTTTCCTGGCACTATAGTGGTCCTTTAAAGGAGACCTATCACTTCTCTGAAATGTATTCTACTGAATAAAATATGGAATATCACTGGTAACTTGTTTTATTTTATTTTTTAACGAGATGCTCTGATTATTTTTGCAGTTGTATTAAAAAGATTTAGTAAATCTGTCTGTCATGTACAAACGATAGAGCTTATATCAATGACTCACAGGGAGATAAAATGAAGGCACCCAGCGGCAGGATAAAGAGGTGTGGATTTATACATGTAATTTTATTTTTTTAAACCTCGCTAATACTTATTTGATAAATATAGGGATAAGAGAGTGACTGTTCCCTTTAGGTTATGGCAAAATATTGAAAACAAAAATAACTCACAAAGTGTTCGGTGTGAAAAGAAAGCGTTTGAAAGTTCACTTAGTGAGTAGCAGCTCTAAAACACCCGTGAGGGAATACCTTCCCTCACCCTTAAAATACACCAAAAGTGATTAACAGTATATAGTCTTGTAATCGATGAGTGGAGCGCTAGAGAATATATAATCGCTTACCCCTTAACACATAAGTACACAGGTGATGATTTGTGGTATAAAGTATAGTAGATACACTCACAATATTCAGAGCCTCGGGATAATGCTTGATAAAGACACAGATGTGCTCTTATAGGCAGCACCCCGCCTTTTTGGACGGATATAACCTTCAGGGTAAACAACAAATATAAAGATTATGGTGCAATATGTCTGTATAAATCATAGACCCAGAACAAAATATAAAAGAGACTCTTGCCTTATCACCTTATCTAGAGCCTTTTAAAGCCTTGGCTCTAAGGTGTTAGTGTATCTACTATACTTTAGTTGCACATTTGCACTTTGGATAGTACCATCGGCACTAGTGTTTTTTTGTCTCTTCTTTTTCATTTTACCCCACATCATGACTAGTGATGTCGCGAACCATTCGCGAACTTGACGCAAACGGTTTGCCGCGGTTCGCCATGAACCGTTCGCAGCAAACTCCAGTCAGCTGACACATCCCTGCCAATCTCCGGCAGACCCTCCCTCCCAGACCCTACCACCTCCTGGACAGCATCCATGTTGAAGCTGCCTTCAACATGGATGCTGTCCAGGAAGTAGGAAGGTCTGGGAGGGAGGGTCTGGGAGGGAAGGTCTGCCGGAGATTGGCAGGGATGTGTCAGCTGACCGGAGTTCGCCGCGAACGGTTCGTGGCGAACCGTGGCGAACCGTTCGCAGCACGTTCGCGAACGGTTCGCGACATCACTAATCATGACCTGTGTACTTATGTATTAAGGGATAAGCGATTATATGATTATATATTCTCTAGCGCCCCACTCATCCATTCCAAGACTATATCTTGTTAATCACTTTTCGGGTATTGCAAAATATGGATTAACAGATAACCTAGTGAAACAAAGTCCATTAACTCCTTTTGCAAGTTCATATTCTTATTCATTGTCGAAAAATGGTCTCTGAGTAACAGATAATGAGTTACTCTACATGAATCTGTGATTGTTGTACACAAAATGTTGTCAATGTGTTGCCAGTAGAGTTGGAGATTTGTTTCGTCCAAATTTGGGCCGATTGGGTGATCAGTCAAATTCTGAACTCCGAACCGAAATGCACCCAAATCACAAATCAATCAAAATATGCAATGGACAAACATTAATTACTCCCATGGCGCAAAAAAAAAAAAAAAAGAGAGATGGTTAAGGAAAAAAAAGATGATAGCTAGGGGGCAGTCACGAAAAGTTGATTTTATTTATAGACCAAGAAGGGAGCAACAGAGGCTAAAAATGAATAATAGTTAAAAGTAATCTTTGCTTATATTAATACATAGATTCTTTTTTTATTGCTCGTAATGGTTCTCTCTATACTGGTTAAATCTTCTCACTTGAACTGTGAACCAAATGGCTTAAAATCCTATCAGTGTACTACCAAATATATACATACATACTGTATAATTAACACTGAATGGCCTATTTTCGCTCCCTTTTGGTTTGTCTTATTCAGTTCCCGATCCAGGTTTTTAGTAACGAAATTCTGCACAGACATTCACCAAAATGCAGGCATTCTGAAAAATGTTCTATTTTTGGGGAAAATGGTGCAGTTGAGCCAAATTAGCTCACCGTGCCCAAGTCTAGTTGGCATTGGCAGTAGTATCCTTTAAACAGATATATGTACGTGTTTGTGCATTGTAGTTTGTATTCTGTTACAATATCCTTATACATGTATGCGCATGTAAGAATTTACCTACAGAAACTATATTCTATGGTATTATGGGTTATCCTTAATAAAGCTCATGTATGCGAATTAGAAATGTTATGATTCATGGCTTTTTTGCAGGATAGTTGAGCATCACGGGAGATGTAGTTTATATGTAGCTGCTGTGCCAAGACTATCCATTGTGGTATTAGTGCTATGATAATCAACTGAAATAGAAAATTCTCAGATTAAATGAAAGACAATAGTCAGAGAAAATTGTACAGAAAACAAGACTCTTTGTTGACGAGGATAGTATCTAATACATTGTGTATGAAAATGTGAATAACTATCTATCTATCATATATCTGTAAGAAAAATGCAAAAGTGCAAAAAGAAAAGAAATATCACCGTTCATTTTATTGGACTCCATGGAGACGTTTAACAAAATTTAATAAAAGTTTTGTCAGTATCCTAAGGGTTGACAATGCGGTATATTTAATAAATCATAATTTACCATTGTTCACATTATATTTAAAACATATATCGATTTTCACTTGGGCATGCTATAGTATTTTACATTGAAGGAGTCATTGAAATATCCCCATTTTACATGCATTTATTTACATTTATATGAACTGATATTAATGCATAGCTTATTTGCAAACATTTATGTATGTAGACCCTATTTGTATTTGTTTAATTTCAGGGATGGAATTGGAGATGATTACAAAACTCAAATATAATTTAAAAATCATTTTTCTGCTTGTGAGTGATTGCCAACTATAAATAGCGATTGTCCCTGTGTACACAAATGTATATATTTTTTTAAAATCATTTTAAACAATACAATACATTCAATACATTAATACAAAAGTAAGTCAGTTATTATTATTACAGAGAGTATCCCATCTGTTTTAAACATTTACTAATATTTACTGTTTTAGACATAATCGGTTGGCGGTATATTCTCAACCATGTTTTTTTTTTTTTATTATTCCAAAACATACTTCTAAGTTCCCTTAACCAGCATTACATTAATAATCTAAGGCATATTTATTTATTTATATATATATATATATATTTTTTTTTTTCTCCTTTTTGTTTTTGAATTTTTTTTCCCAACTTATTCTATTTTTCATATAATGACTGTATCCCCTCTTTAAATTGAGATCATTGAAAAGCAAAACAAAAAAAAGAGAGACTGGATTAAGCAGAATATTTTACAACATAATATAGTTTAATATGGATTAAGGTGTGTGTGTCCTGTTCATGTGTGTATTAAATAGGTAAAGAGAGTAGAATCGTCCAAAAATGGGTACATTGTCGTTGTGGCAGGCCTGTGCAATGTATGATCATATACTGTAACTAAATTTCTATACATTTCTGCCTACGTCAAGTGTTTTAAAAAACGATTTAACTTTGTAAGCTTTGAAACTGGAGTTTAGTTCAGTGAGTGGGCTGGATTCTGAATGTTGTATAAATTGGTCGCAGCAGCACCCTATAATGTATAAATGTTTAAGTGAATGCTGCCTTCCTGGTTTCATGTACATAAATACGTATATGTGTACCTTGAATCACTTTAAATGCAATTAAAGACAGCATGAGAGATGAAAGAGGTAGATAGAGGTAGACATCTCTCAATATATTGATTGAAATTGAGCCTCTATTTTTTTTATTTTATTTTTTACAAACCATCGCACAATAGTTGCAGTGGGTTTTCTTAAAGTTATTGGGAGGATTATATTAAACAATTGGGTTAATACTAAACATTTTAATGAACTAAACTCAATGATTTTGGATGTCCTATTGTTTGTCCCATATTTACAATGAATTTTATTCAGTAAACGGAGAATGGCGGAGAAGTGACAAGGAAACTGCAAATTTTCAGCCAAAATATCTGTACAGTAAACATTTACTTTTGTTAATTCTCTACAAATGCAAGTTTATGGATGCAATAATCAAGTCTCAATTTTTCGGCTAGTTTCCTTTTTGCCCTCCGCTTGATATTTGATTTAAAAATATGATGCAACACACAGCACTGTGTACAGATGAGAAGTTAGAAATACACCTACAATTTACAGTTAAATATTTTTCCTATTTTTCCTGTCTTATAAATTGATTCATTCTACACAAAATATTAAGTACTAATGACATGAATCAAGGTAGGAGCAAGAACATGTGATGAAATAAAAGACTTCTATGCCGTGGGATCTCAAATACTCTGTTGACTTCAGCCCACTCACTTTTAGACATATATTTTTTTCATTTTTTCACTGGTAGGCGCAAATCTGTCTCAAAAGGAAATTTTTGTTGGCACATTTTTACATACACTTTAACAGATCAGAATATTAACGCAAAACTCATACCTCAAGGGATAGCTGTATATTTGTTCAAATAATATCATTGTCAATATTGACAGAATCTTATGAATATTGTCTTAGCATTTATTAGTGTACAGTAGCCCAAAATAGACAAATATAAATCTATATGTTTACTTTCTTCTTAACAGACTGACCTTCTCATGGGGTGGGGACAATAGGTCCATCCCCTTGTAATTTAGCACCCCAAACCACCGCCAATGGTGGCGTCTGGGGGGACGGAAACTGTGTAGACCTAACAATGATAATTTTAGCTTTGTAGACCTAGCAAAGATAATTTTAGAACACTCCCAATTAGCTTGGAGTATAATGGTGTCAGAGATAATGAAATAATAATGTATTTTAGTACTCAATCTTTAATTTAGTTAACATATCCATATAATATTTTTTTTTGACTGTAGTATCTTTGGAGAAAATAGAAATTCTTGCGGCCAAGTTTAGAATCGGCATCTCTCCAGTTTAATGAGGGGGTTTATTTTTAGATACAGCAATACTGCTGAATTCCTCATATTTTTCAGTATAAATATAAATAAATATTTTTGAACGCTGTTTTATTAATGAAATTCGCCGCAAGATCATGTTTATAAGCTATGTCTCTCTGACTTACTTCAGAATTTATGCTTTTCATTAGAGCCCCACCAACAAGTTCCAGATATTTTTTATTATACTATTAGAAAGATGCTTAATAATATAAATATTTCACTGACAGACCCAAGGCTGAAAACTCTAGCTTTTTAATAATGTAAATAATGGTAGAGTAGATTTGTTCATATGTATATGATACAATAGGCCAATTAGATGTTTATATGGAAGTCAGGGAATATATGTGTTGGGATTATATCAGCAGAGACGTTTGACACATATCTCTATGCAAGATAATAAATGCAGTAAATGAGCATTTGAGTGTATTAAATTCCCATTCTCACATCAAGATCAATGCTAAAATTTTAAATGGAACCTGTCAATCAACTGTAGTACAAAAGTCACCAAAAAAATAATAAAGAATAAAACTATTTAAGCAGAAGTTACATTTGCACAATAGTAACCTGAATTATACTGGTCAATGTGAAATTGGACTAGACAGAAAAAAGGGGCATATGCATGAAGGATATATAAGAGATAAAATGATTTATGGCACTTTTTTTTTTTTTGCTTATGTGGAACGAATACCAAATTCATATTGAACCCATTTCTTCCACAGTGATATAAGTATAGAGCATGAGTTTAATTTAACATTTTCAAATTTCATTTTTGTTTCTCCAAATTTCAGATCTTGTTAAACATTTTCAACTGCAAATAGTTTAAGTTTTCTTGTATAGCTGAACTTGCACTTTTGAAGTCTTTAAGTAATTTTTAAAATAAAATGAAAAACTTTTGTTCATGCAATAAAGGACAGTCAAACTAAGACAGACAGGAGATAACAAAATGGTTTCTGGGAGTTGGAGGGCTTTGGGGGCTAAAAAAAAAACAGATGTGGGACTCTTCAACCCCAGATCTACAGGTAGTAGAGTAGTAAAGGGATAATAGGTGGATAATAGCGTTTTTACATTTTTAAAATTTTTATTATTTATTATAAACTATTTTGCGCAAGACAGTCAACTGATAAAGAACGAAATATCACCAATATATTAATGTAATGGTCTGGAGTGGCTGCTTGGGAACATAACTTTGTGCGTGCTCTTAATATTTTAATATTTTTGGTTAGCTTTCCAAATTATTTAATATTTTGAAAAATCATTTAAAAAGCTTATACAAAAATACAAATTAATTTTAAAAGCTTGTTTCTGGCTAAACTTCTACTGACATCCAGGAGAGCATAAGCAGCATGCTGTGCATAGACAGAGACACAGACAGCAGTGATATGTAATGACATATCCCACGTATCTATTAGAGTAAGGGTTACGGAGTATTGTTTTTGGCTACAAATGTCCCTGAGGACTAAGATGCATTTTTGGGAGAGGTCAATTGCTCTTGGACCACAAGCATACAAGAGCGATAGTCTCATACAATTCTGCAAATGAAAATAGCAAGAGTTGGCTTTGGATGTGTGTTGGTAGAGAGCAACAGGGGTGAGGCAGTTTCCAGTATTTGTGCAAATCCTATTCTAGTCCAGCACTGTGTGGGTTTGGGCATAGGCTATTGGACTCCAATCTCAATGTTCACCAGGACTGGATTGGACCACTAATACATTCCCAGTGGACTACAGTATCTGGGTTTGATCAAGAAGCCAAATTGAGGCATGCTACCTAGATCCAATTCCCTCGCATCTCATACCGTACTCTGTATTTCTCTTTCTCCACCTCTCACTAAAATTCTCAATCTCTTTCTCTCCTATGGCATATTTCCATTGCCCTTCAAACATGCATCTGTAACCCCAATTTTAAAGAAGCCCAACCTTGACCCTAATTACCTATCCAACTACCTTCCTATCTTGCTACTGCCTTTTGCATTCAAGATCCTTGAAAGAACTGTGTATGCGAGATTGACAGACTTCCTCGGGTCCAACTCTCTGCTAGACCCGCATCAGTATGGTTTCCGCACTAAGCACTCTGTGGAAATGGCACTGACCAAAGTATCCAGTGATCTACTCACTGCAAAATCTCGTGATCATTACTCTATCCTAATTCTCCTTGACCTGTCTGTGGCTTTTGACACTGTTGATCATCAACAGCTTCTTCTTCTCCTCCGTAATATCGGTCTACAAGATATTGCTCTTTCCTGGTGCTCCTCCTAACTCTCCCAGCGCTCTTTCAGTGTTTCTTTCTCTGTCTCTGTTTCTTCTCCCCAACTCCTCTCTGTTGGTGTCCCCCAAGGTTCAGTCCTTGGTCCCCTACTGTTCTCCATCTATACTGCCTCCCTTGGTAAACTCATTAGCTCCTTTGGTTTCCAATATCATTTCTATGCAGATGACACGCAGATCTACCTGTCTTCTCCTGATCTCTCCCCATCAATCTTGACTAGTGTCTCTGACTGACTCTCTGCTATTTCTAACTGGAAGGCTGCCCACTTCCTTAAACTAAACTTGACAAAAACTGAAATTCAGGTCTTTCCTCCCTCAACTGTTGTTACTCCTGTGTCTGTCTCTCTCCAAGTCAATGGTGCTACCATCAGCTCCATCACGCAGGCTCACTGCCCAGGTGTTCTCTTTGACTCCGACCTCTCCTTCAAGTCTCATGTTCAGTCTATCACCAAATCCTGTTGTTTCCATCTCAAAAGCATTGCGCGCATCTGCCCCTTCTTAACGCCAGATGTGACTAAGGTGCTGGTCCATACCACTGTCCTTACTCGCCTTGACTACTGTAATCCTCTTCTCAGTGGTCTTACGTACTTCCAACTTGCGCCATTACAGTCCATAATGAATGCGGGGACAAGGCTCATCTTCCTGTCTGCCCGCACCTCCCACGCCTCACCCTTCTGTCAGTCCCTACATTGGCTTCCTGTAAGATATGAGGCTCAATTTAAAATTCTGGTTTTTGCCTTCCACTCTCCACATAATGCTGCTCCCACCTATCTGTCCTCCCTTATAAACAAGTATCTGAAAAAAGTTATATATTTTTTTTATTTGTAAACCACCATGTACACTATGCATATATCATATGAAAATAAATTAATTTGACAATTCTAATGGTTCAGCCATTTACATTTTAATAAAATTAACAATATAAATATTGTGTCTCATGAATCTGAGCATTATTGTAGAAATCCCAAAGGGCAGTGGACACACTAAAAGTCCTTCCAGACAGTAGGTCGGTAAATTTAACACACTAAAGGAATTCAAGAATTACTTTATTGGCCAACTGACTCTTCGCATTCTGTATGCTTTAATATATGGTAAGTTCAAATCTCTGTCAAAATCAGATCTATTTAATTTTTTCCCATACAAAAAAAATATATAAATAGAAGTGTGTTTATTTGCTTGATTTTTATTGTTGGCCAAACAATTTCTGCTTTTTCTGTACTGTTTCCTCCCCCTCACTTAACATCAAGTGGAGTACGCACAAACGTTTGGTTTCCGCAGTACATGACCACACTTACATAATGTGCTGTGGCCACTTTAATGACAGGTGGGAGGACAGTAAATGAAACTTGGGCAGAGAATAGACAAGACATCCAACGCATGAGGTTTGTTTAACCATCTTTGTATCTAAGAGTTTAAAATTACAAAGAATTTGCAAAAATGTCAGGTTATTTACTACCTTAGCCTAGACCATCAAATTTTCTTTTGCACAAAAAACCTTACAACAAAATTAAAATGGTTCTTAAAATATTTAAATTGTAAAGTTATTATAAATGATTTGTTTAATTCAATTCTAGCTATGGATTTTGTAATGAAAATTATGTTTTTTCAATCGCTCTACATGTACAAGGTGCATTTTTAGGTCAAGTTATAATACTAGTTTGGCTATTGGAAATGTAATTAAACTTAAGTGAACCTGCTCATGTTTTGAATTCTTCAGATCTAATTCTTAGGCTTCTGTTACTCAGTTTAAAGCAAATTGCGGAGAAATGAAAAACATATTTGCAACATGGCGAAAGAGCTTAGATGGAAACGTTCTCAGTCTCTCTAATATTACAAAACTGGGTATTTTGGTCCAAATTTTGCAAATGTAGTTCAATCATTAGTAAAGGATAAGTACTGCCATGCTTTTGTATTTTCAAATCAAGAACAATCTTACCTATCTGTTCATCACCTGTGTATAAATATTAGCAATACGAAAATGTAAAAAATTTTTTTAATTCATTTAATCTTGTTTTTAACTATGCATTGTATTACACCTAATGCAATTATTACATCATTTTATTTTGTATATATGTTTGGTTAATTGAGGTCTTTTTTCTATAAAAATATATATGGATAGCAATTTGTTTACAAAATTTAGGCCAATTTTGATTTTGAAAAAAAAAAAACAACTAACTCCGATACTAACAAAAGTGAAATATTTAAATATTATAAAAATATTAGTGATTTTTCTAGGAGAGTAGATTTCTCCAGCCCTCCTTCCTAATTGACATTGATAGACGGCCGGCCATAAGGCTTAATATGGAGACCTGTTGCATGGCATTAAATGAGGGATTTATTGGAACAAAATAAGGGCATATCTGACATAAAGTGAGGGGAGGACAGCATTATGGTAAGGGACTTTGGAATGATGGGAACGGTCTGTCCGCCTAAAAGTTGTATTGCCTTACACTTTTGACCATGAATTGCAGAAAGGAAATGTGGTGTTTAGTTAGCTAGGGGTCCGCTAAATTACTAGAGCCTTCTGCTAAATTACTAGAGCTTGTGTATTTGCATATAATATTCAAGTATTGCAAAAGGGTTCCCTTGAGAAGGAGTCACTTATTCTTGATCTGATTGTGAACATAATAAGTCACGGCAAAAAGGCTTTTGTAATATATATATATTTTAAGTATGTATGTATATATATATATATATATACTTATGTATGTTTTATTTTACCGTGTAATTAAATATTTTTAATATTTTAATATTATTGTGTAACAAGTGTTTGAATTTTTTCTTTTTTTTCATTCATTTCATTGTCTAAAATTCGATAAGGATGGCACATACTGCTTTTGTAAATTCATCATAAAATAGTTCCCACGTTATTAATTTTTTTTAGTAATGTCTTTGATGGTTAGTAGAATGCCTTTTATTACGGCAAAATATGTGTCTATGATCATCTCTTTCCTGCAGCTTAGGTACAGTGCAATATGGTGCATTATTCTCCCTCAATGAAGATGTCTGATAGACAACAGATTGCAACATTACATCAAACATTTAACAGAACATACAATACAATCTTCTTAATATGAGATAGTTGCTGTAATGTAAGCACAAATAAAATTAGAATTCACTTATTGTTTCCAGGTGCACATTGGGGCACATGAAAAAAACAAACAAAAAAAGCATGTAATTAAAATACTTTTAAAAAAAATGAAAGATCAGTAACATAAAAAAATGTATTCTTCTTAAGTATCTAAAGTTATAAAAAATTTAAAAAAAAGTTCACAGTTAACTAAATGCAGTATTGTAAGAAGGTATAACAGACCCATCCTTTCTGAAATTGTCAAGAATTAAAGACTGCAACAAGAAACAATATGGTTGTTGGATGTTGATTGCTCAACTTTTAGAACTTTGGGAAACAATTGCTCTTTAGTAAGAAAAGCAACATAGAGAGTTGACTCGTCCTACTAGCTCATTAGCTTATATCACTTACGGTCAGGTATAAAAATACGTATTTATTTAATTCCATTAAAATCAGTAAAAAGTTAAAACTCACAAATTAGATGAAGACGCAGGAGTAGCATTCACAATCTAACACAATTCACCACGAAGACTTATTCATAGATGATTAAGCTTATTATCTAAATGTAGGCCTTCCTGGTAAAAACGTGTTAGACTGTGACTATCTTCATATCTACTGGAAAGTGATTTATGTTAATGGGATTGTAGTGTGCGACAACTTCCTCTTTGTATTTACGTTTAACAGCAGCTTGAAATGACAGTATGTTACTTGTTATGTGCATCTTTCCTTATAGTTATGGTAAATTTATTTTATTGAGATTAATATGTTCCGTATAACAATGCATGTTAATCAATACATTGAAATATATTGCCAATAGTACTAGCAGGTACCATAAGCGGTTCTACCTTTTGGATTAGTAAATTCAGAATAAACGTAACGATAAGCAACGGAATATAGTTTCCTTTTATTAAATCGCTATGCTCCTCTAATAGTGCCTAGAACAGTTCCAAAACGTGTATTCAAGTTTATTAATAACTTCAAAAGTCCTCTAAGTCAAAGTCAAAATACCTACGGCCTAGTAGCTGCAAAGCACCGAGGCCTAGTAAGGTCAAGGTGCCACTTTGGAATGTTGCTGGTTACATTTCATAATTTAGCACTAGGGTTTACAGACAGGGGCCTACCTCGCACCGGTACTGAACATTATACATTTCTGTCACGAAATAAGCTGCTTTTCAAAGCAGAATACATTTTAAATTTTTTTAATTTTGTTACTAAATTACTTAACCTACAAATCATTTTCTTATAGAACTCCTAAGTAATTTTTATTACTTATTAATACTAAGTAATTTCTTGTTTGTATTGTCTCGTAGATTCTTGTTAGTACTTTGAGAAGTGCTGTGATTTATATATCGGTATGGGGAGCTTGCCCAGCAAGAAAAGCTATACTACTATAACAGCAAGTATATCCAACCTACAGGCAAATCACTTAGGTAAGAATTGTATCTCTCCCAGGTTGTACATGGTGCAAAGTAATGAGTGAATATTTTCTTTTTGAGATTATTTTTGTTTTATTCTGACACTGTTCCACTATTCCATTGTTGTTCCCCATTATTGTATAAGTAAAAGTTTGTTAAATTACTTTTGGACTTCTCACAGTACTTTGTTGTACTGATGTTGTGAAAGAGATAAAGTAATGTTGCTATATTATTGCAAGTCTTTAGAAATATAAATTTACCCTGGGATATTTTTTTACCTTGGATATTCTTGAATGAATATCATAGCTTAAACAGGTCACTTTTTATGTTTTTGATTTCAACAATAACTGTTTCTACCATTGTCTTAATATCCGGTTTCCATGTGATGTGTCCTTTCTATAAAGTCCCAGTAATCGGTTAATTCGTAGTGGCTGTAAGGGACATTTATAAGTTACATATATCCACCATAATATTGACACACAAAAAAAATAAAAAATGGAAAAGCACATTTTCCCAGTATGGGTTATTTAAAAAAAAAAAAAACAATACTAATCTATATCAAATAATCATTTCTGCTCCTGAAAATAAATCCCGAATTGGTACAAGTAATGTACCAAAATGGTGAGAAGGTAATTTAAAATTAAAGTCCCGAACAACTACAACTTTTTGTTGCATTTATGATGCGAAGATTCTGTGGATGTTATCTTCCGGACTAGTGTCAACCCATTTTGAGTTTGATAAAACAATGGAACTCTTCCAGCACCTAAATTATGGCCCGCCTGCTGTGGTTTGGCTAATGTGGAAGTGAAATTCTGCATTGGCCATCCTACATGGCACTTCAGAATATAATTGCAAAAGTTGAACGTCTGATACAGAATGTAATTTCTACGCGGGGTGAATTACAGTAGAGGAGCCGATATTTAGGTCCAGGTCAAGAATGGGTCAAAACTAACTAGAGAGACTCTTTGAACGATAACAACAATTGTGATTATGGTGTGTAGAGTGCCTCTTTTAGGTTATTTTAAGTTCAAGGTCCTCCTATAGTAATCTATAAATACAGTGTGTGTTGTACGTTCTATTTTATTGACAGTATAATTACTGTATCTCTCCTCTAACGTATACCTGTAAAGTTCTAAATACAACTCAACAAAGTTTCTTTCCATATAATTATATCTACAACATAAACAAGAAAGAGATGAGAGTCATTTTAGATCATAATTTTGGAATTTATATTCTATTGAACCTAATTATAAACAATACAGTAAACAGGTTTGCAATAAAATACATCTCAACATTTTATATAGTATATTACTTTCTGAGTAAATAAATTATTACGCATTTTATACTGTGTGTACATGTTGTTGTATTTTTTTTTTATGCTCTGTTTAGTGACCATCTTCTTATACAGAAGATGTGTTGCTCCACTGCGCAAATAAACTCACCTTTTCCTACACTCGTAAGAAAACAGAGTGAAATGCAAATTGGAGACACAGAATCCACCGAGGGAATACATACAGGCGCTTTTGATATGAGTAGCTGTGGTTTCTGCTCTTTGATATTGAAGGAAAGTCTTACAAAAACATTTATTAGAAAAGAATCACTATAGTATAGAAAGTGTGTTTCCAGCATGTGATGTAAATCCTTATTTTGAACATCAGACACCTACTTAGAGATGACATTTTTTTAATTGTCACCTCTGTCACTGGGTTAATACACCTCCGTAAACGTGTGACGTCTCTTTTAAAGTCATCTCATGCGTTTTTATTATTATATTTAATTATTCCTGCATGTAAGAAATATGTATTGTGAGGTGTGAAATATGAACGTGAAATGTAGAAATCTGCCTTGGTTTTGCCCTGTCTGAACTGAATTATGATGTTATTTAATGAGTCTGTAATAAAAAGTTTAAAGAAATTGGAGCATTTTATAAAAATTTTAATACAATTTATAGGTGATTTTTAATGTTTTATCCAATGGCATAAATTCCAGAAAAGAGAGAGTTTCACCTTAAACATCATTAAACATTCCGTGGCCTGTTAACAAAGGCATATTTGTCATATTTATTCATGCAAATCTTCCTTCTAAATAAATACATTACTGTAGGGATTTTAAGCATGCGTGGGATAGGCATAAGGCTATCTTAGACTTAAGATTAGGCCAGGGACTAATTAAGTATTTTGAAAATTGGGCAGACTAGATGGGCCAAATGGTTCTTATCTGCTGTCACATTCTATGTTTCTATTCTAAGAAGTCTCTTTTTACCTGGATATTTGGGGCTAAACAAGATATTGACATTGATTTAGAGTGCAGAAAAAAAAAGTATTGAAGGAAAACCCTAATTACCATAGACCAGGAGGCCAGGAGTGCCCAAAAGAAATATATCCACATATGTTGTAAAACTACAACTCCCATGATGCAAAGCATGCCTTTAGAATTCCTTCAGAATGATCAAGCATCATGGAAGTTGTAGTTCTAAAACATCTGGGGATCTACGTGGGCTCTCCTGCCATAGGCTATACTGATTATTGTAGCGTTATTGAATCTTGCGGTGCAGCCAAAAGCCTAGTTTACCATAACTTCCAAGTTATTTATGTTTTTAGTTCAGCTCTTTTAGACCATTATGTAAAATATACCATGAATTTACTCTGAATTCCAAGCAATTCAGGCTTTTCTAAAAACCCTACATTTGAAGCTTTACTTTCCCATTATTTATATAAATATACCCTAATTTGCCCACCATTGGCAGGTTGTAAGTTCTTCGGTTGGTTTAGACCAGCACTTGTAGCCTATCATTGCCATCTAAATTTTGACGGATCTACAGAAATTAAAGGTAATTTGTTATTAGATTTGTCCCACCTGTGGAAAATTATCTTAAATGATTAAAATCACTGCTCATATAAATGGGAATTTTGGTTTGCATAAAACGATATTTGCGTCTCAACTATATTCTTAACAAATTACCTCTATATAAAACTTTTATCTTTCGTTTTACTGATAAAGCCTGATTAAATATTTAAACATTTTGCAATATTGTCTCTCTAGTGGACATATTACACTTGCATCTGCCCAAAGAAATAAGTAATTATAATATAGCTAGCACTGAAATTACATTTGCTTTTATAAATCCAGATCTATTGGCATATTTTACACGTTGACCTTATTGTATGCCTATTTCACAATGTGTTGTTTTTCTCTTTAGCTACAGCAGCATATGTACCAGGACCGGTAGAGGACAAGTGTGTCTTTGTGGCTTTGTACAATTTTCCACTTGGTGGTCAACCAGGTTTCACAGTTCGTGTCGGAGAGCAACTGCACCTACTTTCTGAGTGAGTGACCACAAACTTGTTTTTGTTTTTTTAAATTGTAGTGGAAGAACATTAAGAATAAGAGTATTGGCTCTTATTAACTGATGCCAGTCATATAAGATGCCTTGCCATACTCCTACACTTTTTATGAACCAGATGGAATATTTTTAAAGGCACATACAGGTGCTATTCTTGGGCAAAATGCTAAATAAGGAGCAATCGCCATGGAAACAATAGAATATCTCTCAACATTTAGCTTTTTGTACACACAATAGCACCAGTTTTTCTTGATAAATGTAGACCAATATCAGTCCAGGATAATTTTACAAAAATGATAATTTAAATTAGAAAGAAAGGCTGGTGCCTTTGAATAAACATCTGATTGCAAATGAATTCATTTTTTCATGTAGGCTGTGTCATTCACAGTCAGGGCAAGAGATGTGGCTAGAGCTATGTAAACAGAAACACAAGTGATTTAACTTCTAAATAGCAGATAATTGAGCAGTGAGACTGCAGGGGCATGATCTATGCACTATAACGGCTTCATTAAGCTAAAGTTGTTTGGGTGATTGCAGTGTCCCTTTAATGGAATTAAATTGTGAAATTGTCTCACAGTCCTAATCAATCATGCACAAGTTCCTACAAAGGAAAAATTTGATATTTTGTTCTGATCTATCCCTGTTTCTGAGAAGATACCGATTATCTCTTGGATTTTAAGTCACAGGGTCAGCCTTTATTTTCTTCTAAAAATATATTTTTCTTACTGATCAAATGTTTTTTTTTTATCATGTTTTTTTTTTTTTCACCATTAAGTACAATTTTAATCTCTTTATCTAAATCTTGTATTTTCCAGGGATGGTGACTGGTGGAAGGTGGCATCGATTTCCACTGGCAAAGAATGTTACATGCCCAAAAAAAACATTGCCAAAGTATACAACAGGTAAGTTTAAAATAATCAGTAAAATAAGGGTCTAAAATATATAAATATATAATAAGAACATATACATAAATAGAAGTATTATAAAATATTGAAATAAAATAAGTGGTTGGCAATAGTCCAAAAAAGTTTAAAATAATACTACATTAATGAATGCAAAATAAATCAAAATGAATGGTCCAAATATTTGAATAGCAGTAGCACAAGACTAAATTATCTCTGCACCTTTTTATCTTTTACCCTTCTTTTGTAATTTAAGAATTACTGCTGCTCAAACCAGAATGATGGTGAAACTCTGCCCATGTCTATCTGTGATGGAATTCACACTTTAGTAGCATTAGATCCATTAACCAAACTATAAGTTGATGGAAGATAGCTGTAGAATAGAAGATCATGATTTGATTTTGCGATGCATTAAGACAGACGCATACTTCAGGGTTGTATTATTTCAAATACTGGAATATGTATTGTTTATAGTCAACCTATGTCACAAAGTATACATCAAAATATCAGGCTGAAACATTTTTTAATATAAATCAATTCACCATCAAATATTTCATAATGAAAATAATAATTAAACGTATATTTTTTTTTAAATTCCAGCAAACTTAAATACATAACTACATACCTGCATGCATAATTGCCACCGGTGGTTTTCCATAGGTTAATATGTGCTGTGACTAATATCAGCTTAAAATATTATTTCAAATGTAACTGCTCACGGATCCTCATTTTCCAAGACGTAAAAGTAGATGTGGTTTTTTTATGCATATTGTGCCTTGGCAAAAAACGTAAATGAAGTGTTTCCATTCCCCCATTTGTAGCCTTAAAATAGTCATATACACAGCAAGCCCAAAACAGGAATCAAAACTAAAATGTTCTAAATAACTAGGAACAAATATGAAACTGAACAAAGGTGAAAACTCCCAGTACAGACATTAAGTTTTTATTTACAGCCAGTAACTTGTTCCGTATTCATATACTGTAACCACCGATGGTCTGCTTGACCCTCAGAGTTTTGGGGTCTAAAGAGGGCCTACCACAAATGGGAATACATACAAAAGTTTGACTCTTACCAAGTTGTTCCCTGAAGTGTGAACTGTTTAGAATTCAAAATGGAATTTCAAATCTTAGGCCAAAACAGATCAACTTAAAGCAAACTATGAAAACGCCACAGAAAGACACATTTAGAATGTTCCCTAGAGAGATTATTATATATTATATATTATAATGGAAGATGGCCTATATTCAGAATTTTAGGCAAAATAACAAAACGAAAAACATTCAAAAACATTATTGATTTCCCAACACATATATTAAAAATTTGCAAATGAGTTCATTCTGAACATTTCATTGTATAGTGAGTAACGCTTTTGATATATACATATAAAGATAGATGATCAAGATAGCACCCCCAGGACTTAGATTACTGGGAGTGCTATCTTGATCATCTATCTTTGTATTTTTGCCTGACAAGCACCGGGTAAGTATATTTTATATTTCATGGAGTGCAGGATTATTTTTTCTTTTTATATATATATATGTATATATACACACAAAATAAATCAAATTGCATGTTTAGTTTTATAAGAATGTTGTTGTTTTTTTTACTGTGTATCTATTAAGAAATAATACAGAATCTTAATCACAAGTTCCCTGCTTTATTTTTGTTAGCTGGCTTTATAGTGGTATAAATCGGGAAAAAGCTGAAGAATTGCTAATGCTAAATGGCAACCGCGTTGGTTCCTTTTTGATACGAGAAAGCGAAACTAGAAAAGGTAAGTTACTGAATGACTAATTGCATTATACTAGGGCATGAAATGGAGGACTAGATGGAGGGATGGAGAAAGGGCTGGATTGATTGCTGGAGGGAGGAAGCATTGGAATGATTAATGGATGGATGAATGGAGGGAGGGAGGGAGGGAGGAAGGGTTGGATGGATGATTGGATGGAGGGAGGAAGGGTTGGATGGATGGATGGATTGATGGAGGAAGGGTTGGATGGCTGGATGGAGGGAGGAAGGGTTGGAATGATGGAGAAAGGGTTGGATGGATGGATTGATGGAGGAAGAGTTGGAATGATGGATAGATGGATGGTGGATTGTTGGAGGAAGGGTTGGAATGTTGGAATGATGAATGGCTGGATGGATTGATGGAGGAAGGGTTGGAATGATAGATGGATGGATTGATGGAGGAAGAGTTGGTATGATGGATTGATTGTTGAAGGAAGGGTTGGAATGATGGATGGATGGATGGATTGATGGAGGAAGGGTTGGAATGATGGATGGATGGATTGATGGAGGAAGGGTTGGAATGATGGATGGATTAATAGAGGAAGGGTTGGAATGATGGATGGATGGATTTATGGAGGAAGGGTTGGAATGATGGATGGATTGATGGAGGAAGGGTTGGAATGATGGATGGATTGATGGAGGAAGGGTTGTAATGATGGATGGATGGATGGATTAATGGAGGAAGGGTTGGAATGATGGATGGATGAATGGATGGATTGATGGAGGAAGGGTTGAATGCTTCTTCTCCAGTGACTAAACTCTGTCTATATTAAATTGCAAGATTTAAACCCATTTTAAGTCATATAATCTAGCCCTGAACACACATATATCTGATTTAGATAATTACTGGAGATCTAGACTATACAGAACAAGTCACCACAGTCCGAATTGCCAGCTGGCACTGACGTGTGTTATACAGCAGTAGGGAATCAAAGGATAATGTGCCAGGACATCAGTGCAACTTATTTTTTAGGTTGAGGTTGACCATTTTATAAAAAAAAAAAAAAATATATATATATATATATATATATATATATATATAAACAGTAAGGGCAGGGAGACACAAATATTTTGCCTAATATGAGCGGATTTTGAGCTGTGATAATATATGCCACCCACATCTTTCCTGTACTACACAGCATAAACATTGCGATGAGACTATTTTTTTGTATTGTCCAGTCTGTTTTATTTGACTGCAACTTGTAAACATTCACTGTTGTCCAAAGATAACCCGGAATCATAAAATAAATATTGGAACACATGTAATTGCACAGCTAAAATATGATATTCAGTACTTTGTCAGAGGTCAGACTCAGAGGTATACAGCCAGTTTTACTTGTGAATGTATTTTACACTTGCTATCTGAATTCAGGAAGTCCTCACACCTGTTAAACATAATGTGGTATAAGTTGTGGAAAGGATGCTATAAAGACGAAAAGCACAGGAAACCAAGTAGTTAATAAGAGCAGGTGCAGTGTAATTCGGCCTAGATAATACAAGCAACTGTTGTGTGTTACCCAGTTTCCAAGTCTTATCTTAAAGGGGCATTACTGTTTGCCACTCTGCCTTTCCTGTACTGAAAATCATATTCCAAGTCTGTGGAAATTACATTTTAAATAGATATTTCTACCGTCGAATTCTAGCAGCTTAAATTTAAAGAAATAATATGTTGGTGGAGGAGTGTAAAGTTATACCCTGCATGACAAAACTCTTCTTTCATGTGATCAGTCTCATAGTTTGGTAGTTAGTGGGTTAGAGTTTACTGTGAGATTACCGGGAACATGCTGATTTGTGGTTCGAAGTTCACTCTGCCAGAGCCTTCATGTTCCTTGTGCCAAGTATTTATTTAAAAAAAGAAAAATAGGCAAATGTTTTCTTACCTTGAATTATTTTATATAGAGTTTCTATTTTGCCGGTGTTTGGTGGGAAAATTTAAGTTTAAAGAGAGATCAGATCTCTTGGTTATTGCTTGACAACATTTCTTTCAACTTAAAATACACTGCTTGTTCTGTTTCCAAATAATTTAATCCTGGTAGCTACGTACAGCTCAAATAAACCAATGGGTCAAGCTCACGCAAAAGTTAAATATCAAAAAGTAGACCTGTACTACTAGAGAAATTTTGGATAAAGATGCACCTAATTTATCGATACCATGTCTTTGATATGGAAGTTTTGAGTTGATATATCTGAAAATATTGGGATATTTCACAAAATGGTATATTATATACTGAATTTTATTGTAATATATTTTGACACCATCTTCTTGGCCTTACAGGTTCATTCAGTTTGTCCATCAGACGAGCCAATCAAGCTTCACGGGATGGAATCAAACATTACCGTATCAATAGCCTAGAAAATGGTTGGTTCTATATTTCTCCTCGTTTGACCTTTCCAACGCTTCAAGAAATGGTGGATTACTACTGGGGTAAATAAATAGGATTTTATCAAACTTTTACTGCTCCATCTGTTTTAGAGAAGAGTCATCTGTTGTACTGGCTGGCTATGCATTATGGGAAACATAGTTAACAAGGGCTAGAGTATTAAGGTCTGATCATGATTGGATTAGTGAATCAATCTCTTAGCAGTGTGAGTCATGTCATTACATTTGAAAAGTAATATTTGTAATTAAATAAATTTTTTCTTGTTTTTGTTCCATTTATTTATATATTAACAAACATGTCTTTCAGAATCAGCGGACGGCATATGCTGCGTTTTGAAGGAACCTTGCGTTATATTAGGAATGAACAATTCAGTGATTCACGGTGATTATGAACCGGTGATGGTCCGGAACCCGACACTTAATTGGAAAGAACTAGATAGGTAAGAGTTAATGCATTTAAGAATGAGAAAACGAAAAGAAAATGTAGTAAAATGCACTAAAATGCACGTGCCATTTTAGTGACAATCACTAATGCATTACAAACCTAAAAAAAATTATCTGAACATTATACAAATAACAAAAGATCACTTTTACAAGCACTAAAAACTTCATGTCTGAATAAATTTTAGAACATATTCTAAAGGTACATTTAGCCCATAAAATTTAGAAAACAAATGCTAAAATGAAAAAAAAAAACAACCTCTAAAACAACTGAAACTGATTAAATAATGAAAGAGACAGATCAGGCTTTCGGCTAAGTTATAGTTAGTTAGGCTGGATATTTTTATATTCATTAAAAAAAAAACCTTTGAGGTTAAACCATTACAAAGCAGTTGAACCCTTGAAGGTAAGATGGGGGGGGGGGGGCAGATCCCATAAAGATTTAAATGAACTTATGTTGTTATAGGTGTGGGAGTGTTCCTTTAACGAGGGTATATGATCTCTCCTATGTTGGGAGGCATTAAGGTATTAACGATGTGTATGTGAAACCTATGCATTTAAAGAGGGGAGCAACAACCATAACTATGGTGTCACATGATCTTACTTGTTAGGATAAATTAGTTTAATAAGATTTACAGCCCCTCACACATTCAAACAATATAATCACAGACACATGTATACATGTTAAGTATATTTTGAACCAGCTAGTAAAGATAATAAATTAAAATAAAGGATGTTTCTATAGATGGTTATCTATAGTTTCTCATGTGTATTTTTTTCAAATGTTTGTATTCATTTCCAGATCTAAAGTCTTGGGTTTTCTTGTTTTTATTTGTAATATTCATATTTGATATTTTTCATGATCCCCCCCAGCTCTGCACTCTTTAAGGAAGACAACGGAATAGGTGAAGATTGTCCGGTCAGCCTTGGACTCCGAGAAGCAGTCAGTTCTTACATGTTTATGACAGAAGACTTTAATTCAAAAAGTGCTGCAGAAAGAGAACACTTATGGAGGACATTTTAGTAATTACAGCCGGAGTGATTCATGATAATATTCTACTGCCAGACGTGCCTTCAAAATAGTTTCAAAACTTTTTGGGAGGAGCTCTGGAAATGAATAAACTTCCTTAAATATGATCAGTCGTGAACCGTTTGGGAACAGCTCAAACGTTGCAAGATGCAACTTCTTGTCAATACTATACTACAAAATCAATTCTAATTTTTACAAAATTATATTTATTGCAGCTGTGCTGCACTTTATGTGTACATATCTTATATTGTATTTTATTATTCTGTATTGTATTCTTTGTTGTCTTATTCTACAATAGTATAGAGGAAATGTCAGATAATAAAATTGTATATAAAGCAGTAGAATTCTAAAATCCCTAGACTCAAAATCTACAGTAAAGAAATTTATTTTATATAATGATTGTTTTTGTTGAATAAATCATTCATTTTACTCCGTTATGTACAGTTGCTCTAAATTGTCTAGCACCAGACTAGCAGCAATATGAGGTTTATATTATGTGGCTTCAAATTGCTTGAATGGGAAGCCTGTGTGGGACCAATTATATAATTATGACCACTTACCTCTTTGTTCCACTAAGGTAGCGATCTATGTGAAGTTCTAGAGTACCATAAAGATTCATCTGAACATATTTGACACATAAGTAAATGGTTCAGGACTAGAGAGATATAAAAGATTCAGTTATTGAGTCAATTGTGGAGTGTTGGGGATTCATGGTTCCATAGCAATGTAGGCTGATGAAAGTCTCAAGTTACTCAATTCAGCCTTTAACGTTCGTTTTTAAAATATAAACAGCTGTATTAGAGATTTTTTTCTCCAGTTTGGCTGTTTTGGTATAACATTTTTATTTAAAATTTTTGGTTTTGAAATTTTTGGTTATTTACACTTAGAGAATAAACATGAGGAAAAAGGCAAAGAGGGTAGATGTCTACTAAGAAGAAGACAAACAATATAAAAGTAAATTCTTCCATAATAATCATGACATTAGCTGATGTTTTTAAGTCTGTATCTTAAAACATATTATAGACAAAAAACTAACTATGGACCAAGCTTGTTTCTAGGGAATATATTTTTTAATATTTACCCCATTCAATTAAGTGCTACATATTATTCATGTCAAGGTCTCAAAACACTTTGCTACATAATAGAAGGATGATTGTAATGAACATGTTAAAGGAATAAATAAAAAATGTATACTTTGATAATTTTGTAAGTATCCACAACTTATACTTCTTGAGTGACAATGAGTAGGTTGTAAGCTCTCCTTGTCTAAATATCTCTGGTACATATCATTATGTGAACCAAGTTTAACATAGAATCTTGAACGCTCAAGATCCAGCTTTGTGTCGGTCTTTTTTGCAAAGGAGTGAGGTCCCTTGAAATACATTTTTTAAGCCATATGACGCATGGAAAACAAAATAAATGTGTGCAGAATAGTGTAAACAAGTGGGTAGTTTGGTATTTGCAATGTAACAACATTTTGTGGTAACCACATAACTGCATCTATCTATCTATCATCTATCTACCTACCTACCTACCTACGTATCTATCTATCTATCTACGTATCTATCTATCTATCTATCTACGAATCTATCTATCTATCTATCTATCTATCCACTAAAAAATATAGTTAGAAAATAAACCCCAATTTTCACAAAGCAATATATTATGAAACAAACAAGAAGTATAAGATGTACACGTATATGTCCCAAAAGGGATATCTGCTGTGAAGGAGAACATAAAAATCACTTATATGTTATGGATATTCAAAGCAAAGAAAAACATAACATTTGAAGAAGCAAAACCTATACGTAAAATAAAACAGAGAATATGAGAACTATGAAAATTTGTAAGAACTTGCCTTATCCTTCAGTTAATGGATGGTTGCTGGGGTGGGGTTGACACTACTTTACTATGAGAGCTTCCACCCGCAACCAATGGGTGGGGGCTGTGGGAACATCATGCCCTCCCCTGTTAATTTTGTTTAATAGCCACCACCCACTGGCCACAGATAGGGGCTGTCAGGAACGACACAGGGATCCAATACGCATTGTGCAAATAAGAAAACGTATACCGGACCTTAGAGTGGCCAGACTAACGTTAACAAGGACAGAGAATAGTCAGGGACAAGACGAGGTCAAGGAAGTCAGAAAACAGTAAAAAAGCGATACAGTAAAAGCCGAGTCACAGGGAAGGAGAATATAAAATAGTCAAACCAGAGCTGAAGTCAAAATACCAAGTATCACAAACCAAAAAATGCACTATAGTGAACAAAGTAACTTTAAACCACAATAGGTCAATGATTCAGAGCCTTCTAGCCCTTTTTATATTGTGGCTCTTTAATTAGCTAACCACGCCCCCAAAACTGACAATTGCATTGTCATAAAAAGGGGCGGAGCCACAGCTACCGGCATTGGAACCACTGCGGAGAAAGGGAGGAGACTGAGGATGGTCCCTCTCCTTCAGGAGGAGATTCCCAGTCTGACATGTTATAATAGGTACCTTGACAGGGGCACAGGAAGACTATGTACCCCCTTACTTTATTGATTTTTTAGGTGCCGGGGGCATGGTGGACCTGTGCCAGATTCCCCTTTAATGGATTAGCGACTGGGTGGCCAGCTATTTCAACCCAGTTCCTAATCCAAGTCTTTTATTATTGTGGTGTTGTGTGTAGGCTGCTTGTAGTATTGTGTGCTTGTAGGGATACTGCTTGTGGTGTCGTATGTCTCCAAGGATGCATTAGTGTAGTATGTCTCTAAGGATGCATTAGTTTAGTATGTCTCTAAGGATGCATTAGTGTAGTATGTCTCTAAGGGGACACCTCTTGTGGTGCTGTTTCTTTGTGGGGACATGGCTTTTGGAGTTGCGTGTATTTGGGACCTCTGTTTGTGAGGTGGAGGCTGCTTATGGGGTGTAGTGTGTATGGATAGGGCTGTTTGTGGTGTAGTGTATGGAGGAGTTAGGGACTGTAGTCTGTATGTGGATAGGAGTTGTAGTGTTTGTCTGGGAGTAAATAGAGCCTGTAGTGTCTGTGCATATGGCAGCATAAAGGCTGTAGTGTATAGGGGTAGTGGCTGTAGTGTGTTAGGACTAGAACATGTTTTTATGGAAGATAGGGCTATAGTATGTGTAGGCTAGTGGAAGACAAAGGCTGCAGAGTGGGTGGATATGGACTTTAGTGTGGTAAAAACAGGGGCTGTTATGTAGGGTATGTTAAAAAGATAATAATTAAAAAAAATGACTGAGGGGGTAATAGGGGCAGCATTGTGAGGGGATAGGGGCAGTATTATGGGGAGGTAGGGGCTTTACTGTGCAGGATAGATGTAGTATTGGAGAGGGTAGCGGAATTACTGTGGGGGTGATAGGAAAAGTATTGTGGGTGGATAGGGGCAGCATTGTGGCGGGTTAGGAGCGTTAGGTTAAGCATAAAAAATGCACATAATAAAACAAAACTAAAGTTTATTCCCTCCTACTTCTTGCTTACCTTGGCCAGGGAGGGGACCTGGTGGTCTAGTGGGATGATTATTTGGTCTGCATCCATGTTGGGAGCAGCCTGTGTGTAGGTCTCCCTCAGACCAGCGGTCAGTAAGGCATCAGAGCATTGCTGTGATAGCCCATGGCAACTCTCTGATCCACTACAGAGTGCAATTTACACGGTCTGCTTTTAGTAGTCCACCGAGTGTTTGCCTGATGACCAGCCAGTACACCAAAATATTATGTCTCTGATTCCAGCAGGGTGCCCCACCAGACCAGCACTGGTGGCAGTTGGACCCCTCTGCTCCCTCTTCTATGCCTTTGCATTTTCCTGGCAACTTTTTCCTTCCTTTCTTTACAATCTCCCTTTACTTCTACATTGCATGACCCAGTACCTAGTGTTCTCCTTTGTGCATCCATATTGCCTGACCCCCATGAAACATTGTTTGCTCCATAACCACAAAAATGAGCTACATGGGTTATGGTGTCTCTTGCAATAAAAAGCAGATACATTTGTACATTCTCTGCTTGATTCTACAGTATATGTTATGGAATTAAAAAAACGAACTCAGTGACTTTATTTATAATATTTCCCCAAAATCTCGTTCCCCTCGAAGAATGTGCTGCAAGGCAATCTTGCTATTCTGCATAAAACCTTGTAGACATCAATCGGACTATTAAAGAAATGAAAACACTTGGAGCAATAAAGTACAAATACCAGGGTAAAGATATAGAATGTATTGTACTACAAAACAATGCAATAACGTAAAATGTAAAAATCTGATGTAACTCATAAAATTATAATTATTATTATTGGTAATTTATAAAGAAGATTGGTTATGTGATAGTGGAAAAATAAGTCAAAAATAGAAAAATTAATCATATATTATCTTAAGCGGAGGAACAGAGACTTATTAAAGCCATAGGAACAAGGTCAGAGATAGACATTTACCATGAGAAATTCACCACCCACAGGGCTTCCCTGCCCACATTGATCTCTGGGTACCATGACTGATGAATGATCTCTGATGAATGAATATGACAACCAGATGTATCCTTTCATCATTCTAAGTTCCAGGACCCCAGTTTGAATTTCTTGTTTAGGAGTAGCCAAATTAACACTAAACAAAATGTAGTCCATAATCCCCATTTACCTTCTGTTTTCCTCCAGTGATGGTTTTAATATACGGAGAAATATTTTGCGCTTTTATGTAAACTGCAAATTTAAGTTTTATACTGATTCAGTTATTAATTATTTTAATTCTGGGTAGGACATTAGTTGGAAATTATAAATTATTTGTCCTTGCATTTTCATAGTAAAATCATGGCTTCAAGTTTATAAGTCACTAACAGATTCAATATGGTGGTGGAAATATTAAAACCGCAGCTTACATTTTTTTTTGTGCCCCCACCGTAAAGGGACACTATAGTCACCAGAACAACTACAGCTTATTGAATTTGTTCTGGTGAGTATAATCATTACCTTCAGGCTTTTTGCTGTAAACATGGTCTTTTCAGAGAAAATGCAGTGTTTACATTACAGCCTAGTGATAACTTCACTAGCCACTCCTCAGATGGCTGTTAGAGATCCTTCCTGGGTCATGGCTGCCTAAAATGCATCCAAACATTCAGTATCTCCTCCCTCTGCATGCAGACTATGAACTTTCCTCATAGAGATTCATTGATTCAATTCATCTCTATGAGGAGATGCTGATTGGCCAGGGCTGTGTTTGAATCATGCTGGATCTGCCCCTGATCTGCCTCCTTGACAGTCTCAGGCAATCCTATGGCTCACATAATCGTATGTTGCATTTGCCTTGTCCTGAAAGGGTTACAATATATTATTTCCCCCTGACTTAGTGCAGCTAAACTGTTAAATTTCCCATTTTTGTAGCATCAAAACTCAACCTATCTTCACCTCGTTATACAGAAAAAGTAATTAACAAATAGAGTTTATTCACTAAACAGCACTTTGTAGTGAATTTAAAGTGCCCCCACCCTCAGGGTCCCACTCCCGCCGGGCTGGATGGAGAGGAAGTGGTTAAACACTTGCCTTTCTCCAGCGCCAGGCTCCCTCCTCCTTTCCCCGTCATCGGCTGAATGCGCATTCTCAATGCTTTCCTATGGACGCTTGCGTGCTCTCACTGTGAAAATCACAGTGAGAAGCGCGGAAGCGCCTCTAGCGGCTGTCAATGAGACAGCTACTAGAGGCTGGATTAACCCTAAAGTAAACATAGCAGTTTCTCTGAAACTGCTATGTTTATAGCAAAAAGGGTTAAACCTAGCTGGACCTGGCACCCATTCCACTTCATTAAGCTCCAGTGGTCTGGGTGCCTATAGTGGTCCTTTAAAATCAAATTGCAAAATGTGGTCCAAAATAGCTATAGTCACATTTTGACTATTTTGTCCAATTTTTCTTTTTCACTTGTTTTTAATTCACAACAATTCACTGTTTAGTAAATAAACTCTTTGTGTTTTCTCTGTGTGCATGCTGTTAGAAATACCTGTTTAAAAAAAAAAAATGAATCAACCATGTAAGGAAACCTAGTATATCCAATCTTCATTCGGTAGTTGGAATAAATGAAATCCATACAAATACAATAGCTTCACAAGATGATTCCCTTAGTAAAGCATACGAATCCCCAAACATCAGCTGAAGTCAAGAAGAAGGGTACAACAGAACTGGCTTTTAATTACCACACACAGGCTTTTATGCAAGTCCCCACGCAAGGGGACATCCCACAAGGTGGGACACGGTATAACCAATCAGTTACAGGAAAACAGTAAAACACACCCAGCACAAACATACAATTCCCTCCCCTAGTCCTGGAGATAATCAAGTCTGATAAAGTAATAACTTGATAATCTCCAGGCAGAAAAATCACAATTTTAGACATGGGGTATCCCCACAAATAGTCCCATGATAGCCCCGATCTGAGTGACCAACATATTCAAATTTCACCCAGATCGGTTCAGGGGTTCTCAAAAAGTGTGGAAGTCCTTTGTGACCGGCTAACCGCGAGGTGGCTGCCCAAAATAGTTCCAGGAGTTTGGGTGGTTTTGCCGGTCTATTCAGTTAAGTGTCAAAACCTGAATAATTCCACGAATGGATCCCCCTGGCTCTTAGCAGCGATTGTTCCCCTCATTCGAATGCACAAAACTACCGAATAGCACTCTTCTAGCTATTCGGGAAATAGAGATCCAGCATTCGCTTGTTGAGACCGGTGTTCGGGAAGTTGAGTGTCCGATTTTAGTTCCAGACACTCGACGACCAAGTCCCGCTGTCTTTGTTCGCCTGAAAAAAAGATGGCTGCCATTTTCTCAGCCATGTGGCGTTCAGTAGTACAAACACTGGCCGCACAGATAGAGGGTTCAATTGAAGCATTCTTTGAAGTTTAACGAGCCAGGGGGTGGTCTCTGTTTGGTAGTTATATCTACGGAATGAATATGGTAGAAATATTACACATAAAGAGGGATTTCTTCACAAACCATACCTCGTTATGCTCTATATTATCAATTTCTCGCGAAAATGCAGAAGCATTTTTTTTACAGTAAATAACATAACCTCCCTCTGCTTTCAGTAATTCAGTAATAATATACGCCATCAGTCCAAGGTGATGTTAAAGGATATCATTTCACCACTACAGGATACATCTGGCCTCGTTTCATAGCAGCCAGGGTTCCTTGTGTTCTGTTATAGCTTTATTTATTAAATGATTGACACATTGATGCAAAAATCAGAAAATATGTGTGTGAATATGATGTTACCATTTTTACAACAGAATTAGATTTGTGTGTCTTTTTTTTTCCCATGCAATAGCAAATTGTAGTAAATTGAAAACCAAACCTGCATCACATGTTGGATTCTCTAATAAAACACACATGATGTGTGTGGTTTAAGCTAATAATAGCCCCTTGCTTACTGGTTTGTTGAAAAAGAAAAATACAAAAAAATGTATCATTTTTGAATATACAGTACAATGTCTCTTTGGTTTTCGAAACATATCTTAACTGTTTTCCATTGTAAGAAGAATACAGTGGTAGATCTTTATTTGCATCGCAGTGTATAGAAATTTGCCTATTATTTACTTAGAACAGACTTTAACATTGAAATATTTACACTGTCTCCTTGATCCTTTACCTGAGCATTCAGAGCTCTAATGTACTATATTTCCACTAGAATATTGAACTTCTGTAGCGATCATCGTTCAGACTGACTTTAAAAAAACAAAATGTTTTACTCCTTTCTTTGGGAAGGAAGAGGTCACAAACAGCTAAGAGGCACAAGTTTCTAGGATTGTGTATTAAAACATCTGCACAGATGGGAGATATCACAAAGGGTAGTTGAGAATGACAGGGCTAAGATCTTGTGGGACTTTAAGATCCAGACGGACAAAAAAGTGCTGGCCAACCAACTTGACATCGTGATAGTAAACATGGAAGACTGCAGTGGTGGTGGATGTGGCAATACCCAGTGACAATAACATGAGGAAGATGGAGCATGAGAAGGTGGACAAATACCAAGGACTGAAAGAAGAGCTATAAAGGATTGTGGAAAGTGAAGGCAGTAGTAGTCCCAGTTGTGATAGGAGCACTCAGGGCTGTGACTGCCAAGTTGGGATAGTGGCTTCAACAGATTATAGATGGGACATCTGAGATAGCTGTCTAGAAGAGTGCAGTTCTAGGAACAGCTAAGATACTGCGCGAAACCCTCAGACTCCAAGGTCTCTGGTAGAGGACCCAAGAATGAGGAATAAATGTATCACCCAGGAAGGGTGAGAAAATGTATTTATTTATATAATAGGTGCATAATATCATCTTTTTCTCTCTATTAGGTACTTTTTCTCAGTAGATCAGAGTACAAAATGGAAGACATGGGGGGCGGGGCCTGCCCGCCATGCTGACCGGTCACATGAGACAGAGGCTCCTGCAGAAAAATGGCCTTCTCGACCGATAATCTGAGCTTACAGTCTATATCAGAGCCGAAGGAACACAGCAAGGTGCCGGAGCTGAAGCTGGCGCAACAGCAGGCTCCGAGATCGGGGGCTTTGGAGCTTGCGGCCTCCACGTGAGAGTGGAGGGATGGACGGCCCCCACCTTACCTGCTTGCATATCAGTCCACCACACGACAGCTCTGGGGCATGCCTCACAGGCCCCTTCCTCCACCCCCCACCCCCCCATGGATCGGGGGGGATAACGAAGCGATCCACGCCGAAACCAGCAGGGCGCACTCCGAGGCCCCGTACCTAAAATGGCCTCCACACTGCCTCGCAGCCACGCGGCTATCTGAGCTGCACTTCACCTCCTCAAGGGGACTGGAGCTCCAACAAATGAACAACCTGCATTGGGGTACATCTGCCCAACCCTCAATCAAGACGACATGGCCCCCCAAAGGGTAGTGCTACCCAGTCCCCAGTTACTCACCTACCGCAAGACGTCCAGAACAGGAGAGGCAGGTGCGGCCGCCGACCGTGAGGCGAGACAGGAGAGCACGACGAGATCGGCTCACCGACACACCACACCCTGCGTTGTCACATAAGCCCAGCAGACACACTCTAACCCAGGAGAGCAGGCATACTTCTCAGCCCACGGTCCCCAGCAGCCCAACGGAGCAGGACAAGGGGAACGGAGAGACCCATGTGCGGAGGCCCTGTGGACTCAGTGGACACAAACAGTCTGCTTATTTGTGACTCCCACGTTTATCATGCATTTTTACTGCTCCAAGATATACTCCGCGAACACAAATAGCTTGCCATATGTTTTGCTTTACCTGCTTTACCTGCTTTTATGCTACATACTAATTCTCTGGCAGATATTATGCGAAGATGATACAGGCATATGTTATAAGCAAATGTTATAGACTAGAGATATAGGCAAATGTAATAAGCAATTGTTATAAGCAAATGTTCAGAGCAGATGTTATATGCAAACGTAGGATCTCTATATACTTAAGCGACTACAGCAATGAATCAGCTAGCATGTACCTAGTCATGTGGACCTAACTACCATAGCCACTCTAGCAACATCAAGCATAAATTGTTATACACTTGTTTCATTTAATTTAACTCAGACAATACAATGGGTTAGTTAAGCTAGATAAAAATAAAAAAATGTGCGATTCTTCATGCCACTGCTAAACATGTATTAATCCTGCAATACGCTGTTGTGGCGTCTGCTGAAACTTTGTAAGCACCCGCACGACAAAAATAATTTTTTTTTAAAAAACAAGCAAAAACAAAAAACTAAATGGAAGGTATATCAGTGTATTGTGATAAAACATTTTTGCACTCTTTAGGTTTGTCTGATTTGTTTTCCCGAATCTTTTTTCAATAACGAAAATATTGCCAAAATCTCTAAAAGTTGTTGAAGTGGTTCGACTAAAACAATTTTTTTTTCTGCAGTACACAAGTTTAACAATAACACAACACAATTAAAATAATGAATGTCATTATAAGTATAGGGAGCAGAGTAAAATTCCCAAAAATATAACACCAAGTCACTTATCTACAAGACATAAAAAGGTAAAGGTTTTGATGAGATAACAACAATTTGTTTGTAAATTAAAGGGCAAAAAAGGTGAAATTATACAAATTCTACTATCTTGAAAAGATTTTGCAAATAACCCGTCAAGTAACAGCAAATCGGTGAAAATGTAAATATTTATTTTTATGTTCATTCTTTGTCTTTCTGATAATTAATTCTAAGTAAAAGGTTTGAAACCACGTAAGGGGGTGGATAAGGTTAGCACAATTGTATTTTAGGAACCACTTTGTTGCTTGAGAAAATCTTTCAGGCCTCAGGAAAGAATGGAAACATAACACATGTACTACATGTAAACATGTACTAAGAACACAAATTGTTACAACATCAATTCAAGTTTAAAATCGCAATTTAGACTGAAGGTTATTGAAGGGTATTAGTGTATATTAGTATGAAAGGTAGAATAATAAATTGATTTCTATAGGTAGTAATAATTATTTAATTAAACTAATAAATATAATAAAAGATATTTAAAGCTTTTACATTTCTTGATTTGCAATTTTAAAATGTTCAAATGTGCTGTCCGCTCTTCTGTCTGGTAGGATATTAGATGACAAACTGGTGTATTAACTAAAGTGTGAATTTAACATGAATTCAAAATGAACTTCCTTGATCATTAAATTCACTTTGAATTTACCCTTAAGTGCATACTAGCCTTGCACACAAATCCTTTTCATTTGCAGCGAACAAATCACGTTTCTGTTATTCTACGCCCATACAAATCAGTCCATCATGTGAACCCCAGATGGATTGGTTCGTTCAGGCGTAGAGTAACATGAATTTGATTTGTTCAATGTGGATGAAAAATAGTTACCACTTAACAGCCCTTCTGTACCAAGACGTACTGCATGTGTGTAGGCAGTACTGTACACACGCAGTTAGTGAGTAACTAACTTTCAATGTAGTTTAGTCACTTAACACAGAATTGTAGAAAAATTTTAACTGCATTTTAAAATTTCTCATGGTGACAGATTGGCTACTTTAACCTATTTTGTAGTTTGTTTTTCACTTTACTATAATTTAAAAAAAAAATCGAGAAACAGAGAATATAACATAAATATCAGCACTCACGCTTAGCCCCTTATCCAATCCAGATTCTATCGAGGCCATCTTGAATTTTGAGAAAAATGTAAACAGGGCCTTGAATTTGCATTTTTTATTTAAGCCAACTAAAATGAATAAAAAGTAAGCATTGGATTCTAACATAAAAACTGTGTGTACTAATTTCACAAACACGTGCAAGTTACTCTGCTTTGCACGCATGTTGCAACAAAAATAAGCCGTAGTCCAGAGAACGCTTTGCTCATTTTAGTTTAAGCAGTAGTACACAGGGAAGAATTCTCAGAAAGCTGTGCGAACAAAGAAAAACTGAATGTTTGACAAACAGGATGACTGAAATGCGTTTACCACATTTCCAAAACAACACTGCTGACCGACCGTACGACTTGAGGTAAGACTAATATATATCACATCCTGTCCATCTCATTGCAGTTACAGATAAGGGTCCTAATGTTAAATTAGAGGAGAGATATTTAGAAAGTTACTCGCACTTCATTCCCCCCCCCCTGTAGGTTACAGGGGATTATTCCCTAAATGAGAAATCACAGTGGATTTCAAAATACAGTAAACTATATTTTCAGGAGAGCTATTCTGGCCTTAAAGGAATATTGCACATATAAAGCAAGCCAAAGTGCTTTATTTGTCTGGTGGCTAACATATTTCTGACAGTTTATAAAAGTGCCCAAATCAGCACTTTTTGTAAAACTTTGCTGAAACCCCTCCACAACTGTCAATCAGTTAACCAGTGAGGTTTGCTTCCAGTGGGCTAGCGCATGCTTGCTTTCTCAATGAGCTGTACTCCAGTTCATTTAGAAGCATAGGAAAGCCACACTCACGTGCATCCTGCGGGTCCAGCACAGAGTCTCTTAATTAGAAGCCTCTGATTGGAGTATTCAGGGCACAGACTGAAATTCTGTATCAGAGGGAAAAGGGGAGGGCTTGCAAAGGCTTCAGGCAGTTTGTTCATAGGGTGTTCATATGACCACTAAAATAATTTTGAAATAATATTTTTTATGGAGTGTTCCTTTAAATTTAAAATTAGCTTTGAATTCTCACGTTAGTAAATAACATTATGCATTGTTTTCAAGAAATACAGGGTTCCAGGGTTATTTGCTAATGTTAGAATTCCAAGGTAATTTTAAATTTACGTACCTAATATTTTTACTTATTTATTTTAGAAAATTTAGAGTATGTGAATTGATGAGATCTGCAAAATGTTCAGTTTGGACAAAATACCCTGACGGGCGAGTCTGAGTTTGGCAGATGCCAGTAGAACATTACCTGCTTGACCGTATTGTACCAACTGTAAAGTTTGGTGGAGGAGGGGTAATGGTATAGGACTGCTCTTCAGGGGTTGCGATAGGCACCTTACTTCCAGTGAAGGGAACTCTTAATGCTTCAACATAAAAATACATTTTCCACCGTGCTATGCTTCCAACTTTGTGGGAACAGTTTGGGGAAAGCCCTTTTCTATTCCAGCATAACCTTGCCCCAGTGCACAAAGCAAGGCCTATTAAGACGTGGTTGGATGAGTTTGGCATGGAAGAACTGGTCCTCACAGAGTCCTGACCTTAAACCTATCGAACACCTTTGTCATCACAGGGTTTGTAGGCCAGACCTTTTTGTCCAACATCAGTGCCTGACCTCACAAATGCTCTACTGGATAAATGGGCACACGTTCCCACATAAACACTCCAAAATCTTGTGGACAGCTTTCCCAAAACAGTGGAAGCTGCTATTGCAGCAAAGGGGGACCAACTACAGTAATGTCTATGTATTTAGAGTGTGATGTCATAAAAGTCCCTTTTGGTGTAAAGGTCCCAATACTTTTGTCCATATAGTGTTTAGGTACATTTACCCACATAGGACAGAGGCAATTGTCCATGTTTTGTATCAAAACCTAGAATTTGTATTTCGTGTTCAACCATAATTTAAGGGTTTCTCTTTAGGTCCTCTATACATGTTACATATTATCTTTTAAAGGACTG